GCAATGATCTCATGCTAGCAGACAAATTGGCATTTTATTCAACTGAAGTGTATTTGAAGTAATAAATCATTATGGTGGCTCATGTTTTTATGATGCGTGAGAGAGATATTTTTGTGACACTGACCTCATCTCCACCCCCCTCTTCTCCTCCCCTCTCCCCCTTCTCCATCCCACCTCTAATTGCCCAATTCTCTACGCTTTCTGCCTCTTTTCTCCTTCTCTCTCTCTCAGACACACACACACACACGAACACCTGCGCAGGGCCGGTGAATCACGCCGACGCCGCTTCGCTCTTCAATCTCTCATCCATCCTGGCAGTCAGAGCGCCTCCATTTTAATCAGGAGTGAGACTCTCCGCGGTGGAAAGAGGATTCATTGCCATCATCTGCAGCACGAGATTGCGTTTCGACACGAACACCTGCGCAGGGCCGGTGAATCACGCCGACGCCGCTTCGCTCTTCAATCTCTCATCCATCCTGGCAGTCAGATCGCCTCCATTTTAATCAGGAGTGAGACTCTCCGCGGTGGAAAGAGGATTCATTGCCATCATCTGCAGCACGAGATTGCGTTTCGATTAATATTTCACAAGTTCCTTCTCGCTCAGTGTGGATTGGCTGACTCTCTTTTGTTTCCTGGAGGCGAAATGATGCTGAAGTGATGCTGCGTCGTTGTTCCCACCCGCTGTAGACCATCATCATCATCATCATCATGAGTATGAGTCTGATCGAAGAGCCCAACATGAGAGATTTGGACTAACAAACCCGAAAGGCTGCTGAAGATCTCAAGTGTTTAAAACCCTCAAGTTAACGTGCTGGAGACCGCCATAGTGGCAGGTAGGCTTAGTTGTACGCTTCTACACTGGTTGGTGTTTATTTGCGGATCAAGACATGTTATTAGTTAAACATCAGCAAATGTGCGTGCATTATATGCTTATTTCACGTTTTGGTTCTTGCTTTATGCGATTGCATGATTGCTCGCAAGTAGCCTATTTTAAATACTGATTGGAACTGAAAAATTAAATGTAGGCTAACAAAAGGAAGGACAACAATAATACATAAAAAGGAAACTTTTTAATAATTAATTGCATAAAATTGTTATTATTAAAAAATAACAAAATATATAAAAATATGTAAAAAATATCTTAAGCTTATAAGAGTGTGTATATATATATATATATATATATATATATATATAAAAATTAAGAGTGAGGGATTGAAAACTATTTAATTGCTATAATAATGATCCCAAAACAGTGTTTTCATGGTGTAAATATTGTTTTTATTTATTAATTTTTTTAAATGTTTAATATGCAGTAGTACTAATTGTTATACACAAGTAGTATTGTCTGATGGTCGTTAAAAGCGTTCCGTTTTTTTTAAAAACTCATTTTTTCCACTAGTTTATATTCCAGTAAGGCTGTAATATTCATATAAACAGCAGGCAATGATCCTGTGGTCTCCCAAACAAACATAGGCCACTGGTTGCGTGTGTGTGAACATGTATGTGTGTAATTGCAGCTTTATGTCGCATCTGACACTCTTTTCTCCCAAAAGACCAAAATTAGAAAACATGACAATCCCACTTTCCATCAGGACTGTGAACAAACCACCCACACAAACAGACCGAAAAACAGAGACAAACACAAATACATGAATACACACACACTTTTCCTTATTTTATTTTTAAATGTTACTTTATTAAACTATGTATGCAGTATTAATTATGTAGGCCTAGCATGGTATTTATCAAACAATAGGTTACTATTTTACTGTTTATTATGCGCTATATACACACACACACACACACACAGCAGGTTTGTCCACAATGCAGGTCATTTTTCATCTGTGCTACCTGCTCCATTCAGTTTAATTCAAGTAGGATTGATTTCTTTGTGTGAGGTGTGTGTGTGTGTGTGTGCCCTAGCTGAGGCCTGCAAATCCTGAAATATGGCAGTCCGAGATATCCAGTCTCTTTTGACAATCCTCTGTAACGTTAGTCCAGTACTTTGTGTTGAACACATGAGCACGTCTCCACACAGATCCACTCAATCCATGAAAGATTCACGAGTCTAAATGTGGCCTAGACCAAGAAGGCAGATCATGATCAATCTTCGAGTAGGCGTGATTACTACTGCCAGACTATCAGAGCTATATATAGCATCTCGCTGGACTTCGCACCCAAAAAACCCTGTGTAAACACAGCAAACAGGATTAGACTCAGTCAGACAGATGTTATCATTACTGTAGATACGATGCAGCAGTGAAGTATGCCATTATAGATGAATCAATAGTGATGTGATATGTGATTCTAGACACAGAATGTTTGATATCTGTACAATGAAAACAAGAAGGCGTTTTTTAATGCAGGCCATGTCACTGTTTTCATGCTATAATGACATGAGGAACTGTGACTGGCTTTGTTTATCTTTCTGAGCGGATAGAGGTTTGCGTTCTGTGCGTATTGTGTTGTTCATAAAGGAACGTTCTGGCTTGAATGTGAGTTAAAGCTGATTGTGTGATTTCTAAGGCAGTAGCATTGTGAAAAATAACTGTTTTCAGACAGGTTTCCTGAACACAAGCAGATACTCATGGCCCTGGTTGAGACAGTTAGGATGCTTAAACTCACAGTTATGCTTAGAAAATGACAGCAGAGTCAAACGAATAAAGCTTTGTTTACTGCATTGCACCTACAATCAGTGTTATTTTAGTATCATTGAGGTACTATTATAGCTTTTATTATTTTTGTAATTCGTTATTTACTTTATTCATTTTTTTTCATTTATAGTTTTAGTAATTTTGTGTGGTGATTTTTTGTCATTTTCATTTTTTTTACATTTGTATATAGTTTTCATTTTATTTAACATTTCTATATTTTTTATTTCAGTTTTAGTTATTTTATTACATCAAGTTAAACTTATGGAAAATGAGAAATTATGACTTGGAAACTAGTTGAAATAAGTTTATTATTATTATTATTATTATGGTTAATGTCAAGTAACAGTGTTAACGATAATAACCCTTACTATTGAACTGTATGGGTATTTATTTTAGTATCACAAATTTTTATTATTATTTTGGGTTTTATTATTTTATCTGTGTGGTTATTATTATTATTTTATTTGAATTGGTTTGTATTTTAATATTTTCTGTTTTCAATTTAATTTGGATTAAACATTTTTTTCAAGTTTAAAAATGAGTAGATCAATTTAAACTAAATGAAAATGAGAATGTCTTTGGAACTAGCTAATATATATACAGTGGGTACGGAAAGTATTCAGACCCCCTTAAATTTTTCACTCTTCGTTATATTGCAGCCATTTGCTAAAATCATTTAAGTTAAATTTTTTTCCTCATTAATGTACACACAGTATGGTTAATGTCAAGTAACAGTGTTAACGATAATAACCCTGCTTACTATTGAACTCTATGGGTATTTATTTTAGTATCACAAATTTTTATTATTATTTTGGGTTTTATTATTTTATCTGTGTGGTTATTATTATTATTTTATTTGAATTGGTTTGTATTTTAATATTTTCTGTTTTCAATTTAATTTTGATTAAACATTTTTTTCAAGTTTAAAAATGAGTAGATCAATTTAAACTTGCATGAAGTCGTCAATGTAATCTACTTAAGTTAATTTCAGGCAATTAATTGAATGCTTAATGCATAACGGGGGCAGTGAACGAAAGGCAAGCTTAAAATTAATGTTAAGCAATAATCAGCAGTGAAATAAAGCCGTTTCCTTTTTGGTGGGTGCAAATTACTTTAAAAACCCTGACAATGTCATGAGAAATTAGGTCTTTTTTGGTTTTATCAGTGTCTATCTGTGTCTCTCTCACTGTCTTTTTTTGCAGAAATCAAACAAAGGCACAAATGAAACTCTTCAACTGAGAATAAGGCTCTAAAAAACATTGTTACCACACACAAATTCACTTACTGCTTAACACACACATACACACACGCACACACACACACACATAATGGCACTTGACAACACCGGCTTCACCTCGTGCGCCGAATCCCTGTCCCTCCCAGTTCCAGAGAAAGGGGAGGAGCCTGTGGAGGAGGCCCCAAAGGATGCTCCACCCACCAATGTACAGAACGCGTTTGAGGAGCTGGGGCATGTCGTAACCACGGAGACAGCCCCGCCCACACAGCCACAGGCCAATAACAGCCTGTCCTTCCAGGATAAGATGGCAGCGAGGGAGGCACAAGCCAATCAGCCATTCAGGAAGAAACTTCAAGGGGCAGGGCAAGAGAGGGGCAAGTTCGGATGGGGTAAGACTCAATTATATTAGATGCTTTAGGAGTCGGTGGCTGTCAAGATTTTGTTCTGCTTATCTGTAATGAAACAGACTGACCTACTCAAAAACCTCTACAGGAACACAATGTCACCGGTCTTCCGCTTGTTAATTTAGCCTTTTTTTAGTTTTTGGATGTGTAAATCTCAGTTTGACTTTGTCAATCTTGTCTGTTTTTTTTATATGGATTGTGGTAAGCTGCTCAGTTACGGTGTTTGCCTACTTTTTGTGTCCTTTTTTTACTCGTTCAAATTTTTCTCACTTTCTCTCCAGGGCGCAGCAAGCGTAAGAGACAGCGCTATGTGGAGAAAAACGGCCGTTGTAATGTGCAACATGGTAACATGCGCAAGACGTACCGTTACCTGACGGATATCTTCACCACTCTGGTGGATCTGAACTGGCGCTGCTCTCTGCTGGTCTTTGTCATGGCGTATGCAGTCACCTGGCTCTTCTTTGGAGCAATATGGTACCTCATTGCATATTGCAGGTATGAATAACACACACAAACACACAGTTTTATATCTTCTAACCCTTTTAAATTGGAAGAGGCAGTGAACGAAAGGCAAGCTTAACATTAATGTTAAGCAATAATCAGCAGTGAAATAAAGCCGTTTCCTTTTTGGTGGGTGCAAATTACTTTAAAAACCCTGACAATGTCATGAGAAATTGTTATAAACCTTTCAGCCCATTGGTGAAACTTGTTAATTAGGTCTTTTTTGGTTTTATCAGTGTCTATCTGTGTCTCTCTCACTGTCTTTTTTTGCAGAAATCAAACAAAGGCACAAATGAAACTCTTCAACTGAGAATAAGGCTCTGAGAAACATTGTTACCACACACAAATTCACTTACTGCTTAACACACACATACACACACGCACACACACACACATAATGGCACTTGACAACACCGGCTTCACCTCGTGCGCCGAATCCCTGTCCCTCCCAGTTCCAGAGAAAGGGGAGGAGCCTGTGGAGGAGGCCCCAAAGGATGCTCCACCCACCAATGTACAGAACGCGTTTGAGGAGCTGGGGCATGTCGTAACCACGGAGACAGCCCCGCCCACACAGCCACAGGCCAATAACAGCCTGTCCTTCCAGGATAAGATGGCAGCGAGGGAGGCACAAGCCAATCAGCCATTCAGGAAGAAAATTCAAGGGGCAGGGCAAGAGAGGGGCAAGTTCGGATGGGGTAAGACTCAATTATATTAGATGCTTTAGGAGTCGGTGGCTGTCAAGATTTTGTTCTGCTTATCTGTAATGAAACAGACTGACCTACTCAAAAACCTCTACAGGAACACAATGTCACCGGTCTTCCGCTTGTTAATTTAGCCTTTTTTTAGTTTTTGGATGTGTAAATCTCAGTTTGACTTTGTCAATCTTGTCTGTTTTTTTTATATGGATTGTGGTAAGCTGCTCAGTTACGGTGTTTGCCTACTTTTTGTGTCCTTTTTTTACTCTTTCTAATTTTTCTCACTTTCTCTCCAGGGCGCAGCAAGCGTAAGAGACAGCGCTATGTGGAGAAAAACGGCCGTTGTAATGTGCAACATGGTAACATGCGCAAGACGTACCGTTACCTGACGGATATCTTCACCACTCTGGTGGATCTGAACTGGCGCTGCTCTCTGCTGGTCTTTGTCATGGCGTATGCAGTCACCTGGCTCTTCTTTGGAGCAATATGGTACCTCATTGCATATTGCAGGTATGAATAACACACACAAACACACAGTTTTATATCTTCTAACCCTTTTAAATTGGAAGACTCTTTTTTTTTTTTGATGCAAAATATGATTTTTCTTCAGTAAATAAAGAATGTGGAATGTATTGGTGACAATTGGTGTACATTGTAATAATATATGTATGTATAAAACTTGACTAAAACTAACGTTTAAATAAAAATAAATGAAAGCTAAACAGAAATATATATATATATATATATATATATATAAAAACAATAATGACTCATAATAAAATGCCAAATTAAAATGATAACTAAAAATATAAAAATAAAAGCTAATTAATATTAATAAATAATTTAATATATAAATATTACTAGAATTACGCTGGTATTTATAGGTGTTACTAGACCCTTTCATCCCAGTTGTTAATTTAGCCTTTTTTTAGTTTTTGGATGTGTAAATCTCAGTTTGACTTTGTCAATCTTGTCTGTTTTTTTTATATGGATTGTGGTAAGCTGCTCAGTTACGGTGTTTGCCTACTTTTTGTGTCCTTTTTTTACTCTTTCTAATTTTTCTCACTTTCTCTCCAGGGCGCAGCAAGCGTAAGAGACAGCGCTATGTGGAGAAAAACGGCCGTTTATATTGGTTTTTGATATTGGCAAAAAAATAAATAAATCCGTTCATCCCTGAGGAATACTTCTCAATCAAGTTTTCTGCTCATAGATGCAGTGCATTTGTGTCGTCCACTCTCTGTCATTTTTGTCCATGCTAGATATGAACACAAGTAATCTGTGTGGGTGGACACTTGAGAACAAGCGCTCCTCTTTGCGCTGTAAGATGCAAGAGCCAATTTACTAAAGGAGACTGTGTGATTTAAAAAAAAAAGAAAAGGACTCGTTTTCACAAACAAAACATCTCCATCGCTGTTGGATGTTCTCTGACGCTCTCTCTCCCTTCCTCTTTCGTATGGCAGGGGTGATCTGGATCATTTGGAGGATGAGGCGTGGACTCCATGTGTAAATAATGTTAATGGATTCATCTCCGCATTCCTTTTCTCCATTGAAACTGAGACAACCATTGGCTACGGTCACCGTGTCATCACTGACCAGTGTCCAGTGGGCACCATGTTGCTCCTGCTTCAGGCCATACTGGGATCTATGGTCAATGCATTCATGGTAAGATCAAAGACAGGCCACTTTCCACAAAAATATGGTACATTTTGGCGTCCAACAGGGGCGCGGGAAGATGTTTTCGGTTGGGGGTGCTGTGCGTGTCCTCCCGCACGTCCCTGGCATCCAATTACTTTTTAAAAAACCATTAAGAGTCACAAATCTTGTGTTTTTTGCTGTGCAATCTAAGAATTTATATTTCTATTTGCTGACTCCATTAATCAAGCCCGAACCATTATAAGATTATCAACAAAAATGTTAAAATATATTTTCATAGTATTAATAATATCATTTTACCTTTATATTATTAATAGTAATATTATATTATAATATCAATACGTAATATTATTTAGTGCCTTTAAAACTATTTGCAGTTGTACTATTCTTTTATTGACAACAAATATAAAAGGTATAAAAATATGATTTAAAAAAATAAAAATTACATATAATAAATGTTGTCATTTATTGTCTTAATATTTCAACATATTAATATTATAGTATAACTTTGTACAACTTTACATATGTATATATACATTATCTATGCAACACTGTTATTTTTATATGTTTTAATTATTTTATGTTTATTTCTAGAAAAAAAAATCACACAGATGGGTACATGTCTCAAATTTTGGTAACGGTTGCGAAATAAATAGAAAATGAAAGCACATAATATTTAGTTAACCTCCTGAGGTCGATGAATTTGCGAAGGTTAAGCACTTTTTTCACTGATCTTTTGTTGAAAAAGCAAATAATTTTTAAGCATTTCAGGTACTATTTACACTCTTTTTGTAGAAAGTGCCCCATGATTCCCATGTACGATGTGATCTGGCAGTGTTTTGTTGTTTTTGCACGTGGCTTTCGTTTGTTGATTTGTGCTCTACTGAGTTATATCATCCATAACCAAGAGCAAATGAGTCATGCGTTTTGGAGCACAGATGTGCGTACCCTCTCCCTCTGTTTCTGTCTTTCCTTTTCTCCTTTTCTAATTTTGTCGCTTTTGCCAAATTCAACCCCCTTCTCAATCTCTTTTCTGGCTTATTTTGATGTATTTTTGTGGTTATGATGAACTCATTTATATCTCCATGTCCTGGTTTAAATGTTGCCCCCAGGGGCTGCGTTTCACACACACACTTGAACACAACACACACTCTCTCTAAATGTCATGTCCTCTAGTTTCTGCTTTTGTAAACCCAGATTAAACCTGTTTCCTCATTTATCTCACTTTAATTTTAATTAGTGGGGTTTGTGAAGGTGAACATGCTCATATTTGGGGTTAGAGATTTGAATGAAGTATTAATCTTTATTTAGTATTAAACTTTGGAATATGATTCATCTTAAATGTTGGCCTATCATTCCTAATTATCCTCAAATCATGTGGTTTGTTTTGTCACCTGCTGAATGCTAAAAGGTAAGGTATATATATATATATATATATATATATATATATATATATGAAGAGTTCATTTGCAAAAACCGATAAACGCCACTTTAAAAAAAAAGCACTATTCTCCACATATAGCGCGATCTGAACCCTATACACGTTTAGTCAAAAATGCTGGTTTTGTCCACTTTCAAGGCATCGCGAGTTCACGTTTTACTGCAGAAGCCGACAAGCGCCCTTGTTGTTTTTGAACATAAGCCGATAAGTCCATTTTAGCAAAGAAGAATGGAGCTCCGTGTATTGCGTGTAATCACATCCATACAGTTTATGATCACAACAACAACAACGTTTGTCAGGCATCTACATTGTCATCTGAGGAGATTACAAAGATTAAACGAGTGTTTTTTTAAAACTCTAAAACATAAAATGTGGCGTTATCTGCTTTTGCCAGTAAACAAACTTTTAATATGTAAAAAAAAAAACATATGTTCAATGAACTTTGATTTTGTAAATTACCTGTATTTGTTTAAAGCAGCACTATGTAACTTTTGGCGCTCTAGGGGTTAATAAAGAGAACTGCACACATCCCGCGGAAGAACATTCCAACCGGAGCTACTTCTCTAAAGGCGGGCGTACACGGTGCGATTTTTGCTGTCGTACGAGCTCGCAGGCGATTTTTTTCTCTCGGGAGAAAATCGCAGATGCTCGCATGGTCGCGGCTCGTACCGTGTGAGAAGAATTACGGGCCGATCCGAGACGTTACGAGCACCTCCCGTCCTGCCGATAATTTTCAAACATGTCAAAAAAAATCGGATGCTGTCGATTTAAATTCATGGCGTATGTGCGGTTGAACGAGACAATTTGGCGATCCATCTGAAGTTGACCAATCAGAAGATGACAAAAACCATATAGTCTATAATAATTTTAGTTTAATTACACAGTTCTATTTTTTATTTGTTATTCAGAATGTGCCAAATTTGCCGTTCATCTTTCTGAATGAATATGCCTGTTGTATTTCCGGCAAAATGTGCAGAAATTCAGAAATGGCCTACTCCCACGAGTTCTTTATGAAGAACAGAAAGTCCATGCTTTTCTCTGCTTTTCAGCCATTCTCTTTGCCATGTCCTTTGTCTTCGTTTGTCGAAGCCGCCTGTCACAAAGAAAACGATTTCCTCCTCAGAATCCATATTTTTATGAATGGCGCGAAACGTAATGCTTACGTCAGAGTTTGTAAAATCGTAGTAAATTCGTGTCGTGTGTGACTGCCTCCGTACGATTTTCGGATAAACGCAATCGTGACATGTGCCAGAGCTCACGACGTTCCGACCTTCAGAATCGCACCGTGTACGCCCGCCTTAAGTTTATGTCTATGGCGATTCACGCAGGTATGCGTTACTCCGCAGCGGTGACGACCCGACCAGGCTACAATAGTCCAAATCCTACTCCCACGAGTTCTTTATGAAGAACAGAAAGTCCATGCTTTTCTCTGCTTTTCAGCCATTCTCTTTGCCATGTCCTTTGTCTTCGTTTTTTTGGACGTCACAAGCCGCCTGTCACAAAGAAAATGATTTCCTCCTCAGAATCCATATTTTTATGAATGGCGCGAAACGTAATGCTTACGTCAGAGTTTGTAAAATCGTAGTAAATTCGTGTCGTGTGTGACTGCCTCCGTACGATTTTCGGATAAACGCAATCGTGACATGTGCCAGAGCTCACGACGTTCCGACCTTCAGAATCGCACCGTGTACGCCCGCCTTAAGTTTATGTCTATGGCGATTCACGCAGGTATGCGTTACTCCGCAGCGGTGACGACCCGACCAGGCTACAATAGTCCAAATATAAGTACTTATTATAAGTGATTCGGAATAAGACAAACGCGGTATGGAAGATGAATTCATGATGTACTCGCTCATTATATACATTTTGCAAATTTTGAACACAGAAAAAGTTACATAGTGCTGCTTTAAGTTATGAGTACTTAATCAAAACAACCCAACTACAGTTTGATTGATATTACTTGGAATGCACAATAAAAAAAACGTGATTTCTGAAAAACAATTTTTTGGGAGTTATCGGTTTTTGCAAATTAGCTCTTCATATATTAATAACTATTGACCTTTTTAACTATTGTGATAACATTAGCAATATGTCCAGTTTCTCATATTTGATGCTTTTTCTTTATATGTGAGTGTGTTTTGAACTCAAATGACATCCAATAGTCCAGTAACTTCTTTTCAGGTGAAGTTTAATAGCAACATTAACTGGAAAAAGTTACATGGTCAAAAAACTGTATCACTCCAATCGTGCATGACAAAAGCTAAGAGTCATTGCTGGAAATTATGTCATCATCATTTACAGTATTATAAGAAGCATTAAATGATTTAATTACTATTATTTAACAATTGTGTAATCCACACAATTGTTCATTTCACATCTGTATAAAGAAACAAATAACTTATTGCTCTTACAAATATAATCAAAACTATTAAAACAATTGTTAATTGGAATAAAGCTGATATACTGTAAATTATGTACTGTATGTTAGAAAAAAAACTTAAATTAGAAATGTTTCCTTGGCAAGCTTGTAAAAATGATTTTTCTAAGTTGTAAATAAAACAGAGATTATTGGAGTATGCTTGACTAGAAAATACTGTTTCTTAAACGTGTTACTTGCTATTTTTTTTATTATTTTCAAAGAAATTGAGTTAAAATGATTTCAAAGTAAATCCTAAACCATTTTTTGTCCAACTTTAATAAGCTGAAGTTTAAGTACTAAAAGGACTAAAATACAAACAAATGAAAGCTAAATAGAAATGTTTAAAAAAGGGGGAAAAAATTAAATAAAATTAAAAAACTGCAGAAACCTCAAACAGAAAACTCCTTGAAAAATTAAAAGTAAAAGCTAATTTTACAAAATATGAATAAACAATGGAATAGTACATAAATAATATGAAAATATCACTGAGCACCACTCACATATTTTAAAATGTAAAAATCTGTTTCTTTCTCTCTCCATCTCTCACTAGGTTGGTTGTATGTTTGTGAAGATCTCCCAGCCGAATAAGCGTGCTGAGACCTTGGTGTTTTCTCGTAATGCTGTCATCTCATTGCGGGATGACAAGCTCTGTTTGATGTTCCGCGTCGGGGACTTGAGATCCTCCCACATTGTGGGCGCCAACATGAGAGCCAAACTTATCAAATCCAAACAGACACAGGAGGGTAAGACAGCGTTTACCACCCTCACAGGCCTCATCTGCAACATCAGCACCCTCATGTAATATATAAGTGGCGCCACCTGGTGGCTATAGTGTACAATCTTGTGAACATTCTCTTATCAGAACCGTTTGCTTCGTTGTCTTTTCTCTTTAGGTGAGTTTATTCCGCTGGATCAGACGGATATCAGTGTTGGTTTTGAGACGGGGGACGATCGTCTCTTCCTAGTGTCTCCGTTGGTGATCTCTCACGAGATCGATGTCCGCTCTCCGTTCTGGGACATGTCACATTCTCAGCTGGAGAAAGAGGACTTTGAGATTGTTGTCATCTTGGAGGGGATGGTGGAAGCTACAGGTACACTAATACTTCAATATATTATGCGAAATGTGTTGTATTGATTTGTGTTTAGTAATTGACGGATATATTCTGATCTACAGGAATGACCTGTCAGGCACGGAGCTCTTACCTGGCTGAAGAACTGTTGTGGGGTCACAGGTTTAGTCCCATGATGTCGCTGGCCGAGGGATTCTTTGACGTGGATTATGGGTCTTTTCACCACACATTTGAGGTATGTGGTGTAGAATGGGAATTTCTAATTGGTCGATTTGAGGTTCTGCAGTAAAATATCTCGGGTTCCATGAAGAACCTTTAACATCCATGTAACTTTTACATTCCACAAAAGGTTCTTAAAGGGGTCATATGATGTTGCTAAAAATAACATTATTTGGTGTAATGAAATGTGTTTATGCGGTTTAAGGTAAAAAACACATAATTTTCCACATACTGTACATTATTGTTTCTCCTCTATGCCCCGCCTTTCTGAAACACGTCGATTTTTACAAAGCTCATCGGTCTGAAAAGCAAGGTGTGTTCTGATTGGCGTGCTATCCAGTGCGTTGTGATTGGCCGAATACCTCAAGCGTGTGATGGAAATGTTACGCCCCATACTGTGATGATGCCCTGTCAGGCCGGAGCGAAGATTCAAAAACATGAAAACCCATTATAAACGAGGCATTCGTTGCATCCAGTGGGGACATAATTATGGATTATAATGACTTATACTGTCTTTTTACGTGTTGCGTTGCGTTGCATCATGTAAACATAAAACCATGTCTGCATTTGTGATCGGAGAAATGACAAACACAAGCCCTACTCTACACTGCCCAAAAAAACTCGCTTTAAATATAAAAAATATAAAAACTCTTT